GAAATTTTTCATATCATAGTAATATTAAGTTTAAACATTGTTTATTCTATAACTAAATTCGCAATGATTTATTCGAATATTGTTACTGTAACTAGTCTGTGATTTAAAAATATATGTGATTTCCATAATTTGAATGCTACTCTATATAATCTGCTAATCTCTATAATCAAATATAAAGATTATATTTTGTTGAGTTTTACTTGTACTAATGGTAAAAGAAATTATTACTAATCAGAGTTAATTAAAAAATAATTTTACATTTTCAGAGCATGCAATTTATGTATGCCAAACGCTACCAATAGCTTGTGCGCTAATTGCCAATGTGTCCCAGGGGATGGAACGCAGCGAATGGCTTTGACTGTGAACAGAATGATACCAGGTCCAAGCATACAAGTTTGCGAAGGAGATTACGTCGTGGTTGATGTTGAGAATCTATTAAAATCAGATTCAATCACACTTCATTGGCACGGTATCTATCAACAAGGTTCTCTTCATTACGATGGGGTTCCACATTTGACACAATGTCCGATCACGATTGGTAACACATTCAGGTAAAATAAAATTTAAAACAATTGAGTCAAAATTGAGAATAATTTAATTAAGCTTTCGTAATTGATTATTTTAATATGTTGCCTGCTGATAAATGAAGATCACAAGAGCAAAACATGACAAACCCAATTTTGTTATTTTTTTTTCTAAAAAAGAACAAGTATTTTAATATGAAATAATTAAAAAATGATGTAAATTGATAAATTTAAAGATTTATTATCTAAACTCACGACGATAAATGATGACGAGTAATATTAGTTTAGTTTCTATGTTAATTCAATTTAATCAATATCAGTCTGTATAATGTTACTAGTATTTTTTAAATGTTCAACAGTATGAAAGGATAATTTTAATATGAAACTGATTGATAATATATTGAATTTCAAATTGTCTTTGAAACAATACTAGAACAATATTATGAGATAAAATTTCATTTGGTTGTTTCAGAAAAAAAGTCGTAAGATAATTGTATATAATTGAGGCACCGTATTAAACGAAGATCTAGATATCAGATAAGATCTGTAAAATGTTTAATAGTAAAAATTACAGTAAATAATATTTATTAGAATATATATGTTAAATAAAAAATTATTTTTTTGTTAGATATCAATTTTTTGCCAATAACCACGGAACCCATTTATGGCATGCTCACACTGCATCACAAAAATTGGATGGTGTATTCGGAAGTCTTATCGTACGAGTACCACACGAGGAAGAACTTTATTCGAATATTTATGATTTCGATTTAGCAAACCACGTAATCGTTATTAATGATTGGTTTAAAGAAGAATCCACGAGCCGATTTCCAGGTCGTAGGGCCGGAGTAGTTCGTCAGATTGCCGATACTTTCTTAATCAATGGAAAAGGGAAATTCGTAGTGAGCTTTCCTTGATTCAAATATTTTACTGTAGAAAATAATTGAAACGACTGAAATAATTTCATAATTTCTATATTCAAATATTTCTAAAATTTTATTACGTAATATATACTTTTCTTTCTATCACGTATAATTTCAAAGTATTATATTTGTATTTCATATTGAACGATCTATGTGCATTAATTTCATGCGTCTTAGGATCCCACTGGCAGTACGACGAATATTCCTTATGAAGTGATCACCGTGGATGCTAATCATCGTTATCGTTTCCGTTTAATCAATTCTTTCTGTACTGTTTGTCCCGGAGAATTGACTGTCGAAGGCCACAGTCTTACTGTTATTGCTATCGACGGTCAACCTATAGAACCTATCGTAGTTGATTCTATAGTTTCTCTAGCTGGTACGATATTAATAAAAATGTAAAATATACTAATTATTAATTACCATTATACCGATTTAATTTTCTTTTTTCGGATAATTTTTACAGGAGAACGATATGATTTCATCATTAATACTAATCGAGAACCTGGTGCTTATTGGATACAACTGCGTGGATTGAATGATTGTGATGCTAACGGCATCCAGCAATTAGCTATACTTCAATACGAAGGAGCTCCTACTGAGCCAATGACCAAAGAACCTACCTTTAAGAATCCTATTCCTAATGGCGTTGTAAGTTGTTCTATTGCGTTTTGGAGAATTATTGTACTTTAAAAATTTTCAGAGTTACAAAAGCAGGTTAAAGCTATAACTTTTATATAAGACAAATATTTTATAATTTTCATAATTATAGGTATTAGATGTCGCAAGTTCCGACTGTTCTTCGCGCATTTGTGGCGATAAATTAAGGAACGCATTGTCAATCGATCCAGATATTCTGAAGAATGGCTCAGATGTGAAATTGTATTTAGCAATTGCTTCTCGAAAATATCAACCAGAAGAGATATTCGTACCTAATACATACAATAATTTTTTGAGTAAGATAAAAATATAATTATATAATTACCAGACACCAGATTTTTATGCAATTTCATATTTCTATGAAAGCAATTAAAAAAATGAAATCTCGGTAGACATCTGTTTCTGTTACTAAATATTACAACAACTATTTCGCTTTCAATATTTCATATGTATTCCCATGTACATTTTTTGTATTTTTATTTCTTTTTACGTCTTGAAAGAAGCGTGATTTTCTCTTTCGTTTTCTAAATCTTAAATCTTAAACAGTTACAGGTCCAAAGTCGATATCAATCACTACGTTAAGCAACATAAGTTCATCTTCTCCATCCTGTCCGCCGCTCACCCAGTTGGAAGACATTCCTGCAGATGCATTTTGTAACGCTGAAAATTTACCATCCCATTGCAAGCCAGGAGTTTCGTGCACGTGTATTCACTTGATCAAAATACCATTAAACTCCATTGTAGAGATCAACTTGATAGATGAGTGTAAGTATGTCAGATGTTATTTAATACCAAAAAGTTTTAATGATTTAAATGTTTAAATGTTTGTTTAGAGAAATTTAAATGATTTTTCGTAGAATGTATGTATAAATAAAAGCTTATGTATTTTATTGTATTATAAAATTTTTCTATTTTTTTTTATTTTAACGTCTTTAATGGAATTTTTATACTTTGAAATAGATTAATTCGAACTTCGTTAATTTGCGTTGATTTATAATTACAGTTAATTTGCCAAGTTCACGACATCCCTTCCATTTGCATGGATATTCATTCTATGTTGTGGGCATGGGTCAACCTTTGGGTCCCATTCCGAAATCGGATGTTAAAATGACAGTCGAATATTTCAAAGAACTTGAGAAGAAAGATCAGATAGTAAAGAATTTTGATTCTCCTCATGGAAGAGATAATGTTCCTATACCAAATAATGGATATGTTACAATTAGATTCCAAGCAAATAATCCAGGTAATCTTAACAGATAGAATTTTTTTGGATTTTATGTACGTAATAACTAAATGATTTTATTTTATTTCATTTTCAAGGATATTGGTTGTTGCACTGTCATCAAATTTTACATCAGATTGGTGGTATGGAAGTGATTTTACAAATTGGAGAGGTATCTGATATGCCAAAAACGCCAGACAATTTTCCAAGATGTGGTAATTTTAAACCGAAAATACAGCGCACAATGTGAAATAGAAAATTAATTGAAATTAAAAATAATAAAATAAGCTCAAAATGTTCATACACTTAATAACTATATGTATTTATTTCGTGTTTTTATATGTGTTAAAGATCTTAGCTATAAAGTATAATTAGTAACATAAATATCAAATTAATTTAAAAAGAAACAATAAAGATCTAATTATGTAAATCACTCGAAAAATTGCTTCCTATATTTCAATTGTCATGATAAAACGCAGTGAATCTATGTTATGCTTCGCAAACATAATTTAATTATAACTAGTTAATTTTTACGCTAGTATAAATATTCTAGAAATTATATTATGCGCCCATTTTAAACGAGTATGGTTTATTGTGTATATTAATTTGTAATCGTATTATACATATATAATATTAACATATAGTGTATATCAGTTTATGATACGAATAATTAAATAATACTCACAAATTAAGTTAGCCAGTGATCAATTAAAAATTACTAGATGTAAAAATTTTAATTCGTGTAGAATTAAAGTTGTTTTCTTTCCCAAAGAGGAAAAAATTTATGCTTATTTCAGAATTTTGGTATTCTTTTGTAATATTATTAACATTCTAAATTTACTGTATACGTTTGTCTATATACGTATACGCGCTTTCTATTAGTGAAAAAGCGAAACCGTAAAAATTAATTTGAAATCTTTGAAATTGTTATTGTTCAGGTTTTGAATAGCGTGACTAGATTTTGAATTTCAATTTTACGCGCCATTTTAAGCAAAGGAACAGCGTATTGCACTAGCCAATAGGAAAGCGAAGATTTGAGAAAGATGTGGCGGGACATCAGTTTGCAGCCGCAGAGCGTTGTGTCAATACCTGTCAATTATATACGTACGTATATAATTTTTATTACTGTTTAATAATTCCATTTTGTCACCTATTGCTAATTATCGAGTTAGTTAAATTATTACGCTTCTATTTGATACTTTCTTAGATGTTGTCAAACGATATTAAGTTAACGAACTTTTGTTCGTTATCTTTGGTATGGTTATGTATTAGTATGTGTTACGAGCTTCTGAGAGACAGTTCGAGTTATTGTTAATATTATCACTTTTAGTTTTGTATGTTAACTTTAAATTTTCGTTTTCTTTTATTGCAGATTATTGAGTGAATGTTGACGGAATCATTTCAAAGGGATTATAGACGTCACATTAATGAAATCATTTTCCCAACTTTGTGATGCAAACTTCGTAATATTCGAGTCATCGCTACAAAGGTATGTACACATCTATGCATTATTATTTCAAATAACAGAATATATCTCGTCTATGTCTGTAACTCTAATACAGAGGAGACTCTAATACAGAATAGACGTAACATCCAATGCATTTTTATATCACACGCTCGGGGAGCTCTAGAATCTTTTTATATTTTTCGTGTCACATCCTACTATACCGATTTAGGCACGTTTTGCACCACGACAAACGAGGTATATGAGTAAACCAAGCATCTTACAGAATTTCGTGGCTCGTGACCTGAAATACCGACATAGTAAAACAATCACTGGTTTTTTAGCGCACTCTACGTTTAAATAACGACGAGTTAGGGAACTAGTGAATGCGCCAGCAATATGATTTTTTGTTCATTACAGTGTTATCAAACTTTCAATATCGAAATGTAAAGCTCGTCTGTGACTATATCAAGTAAAACGATACAAGCAAAATGTTTAATGGTATCTCCAGATTCCAAAATACGAGATTAGTATCTAAAATTATAATATCTATCTAATCGTATCTAATATTCTATTATGTACTTATGTGTGTGTTAGAAAGAGCCCTATTCGTGTTTTACGAATTTATCGATTGGTTTTTTGTTGAAAATGATAAAATTATTACTTGGGGTATATTAACGGGATGTTTTATTTATTGAAATATACTTAGGGAAATATATTTGAAATGGACCTGATATTTAATCAACAAGGAAACGACATAGAAAAGATCTATCATTTTATCAAATGTTTTATAAAATATCTATCATGTTTTAAAATATCAATCATGTTTTAAAATATCTATCTAAAGTCCACGGTTTTCTACAACATTTACAAATGCGCTACACACGTTTTGTGTAGTAATTGTGTGTTTCACTACACAATTTACAGAGATTAACTAAAACTAAACGCACGCAACTTAAAATTAAGACGCACGCAACTTAGTTAAAACGCACGCAACTTAATGCTAAGACTCGCGTATCCCGCGATGTCCTCGGTGCTCCGCTAGGACGTTGTGCTCACGACGGAAGTTCACTTGGTAATGAGTGTCCGTACTACTCAAGGTTATATAATATTGCGGTCGTCAGTATTCAGGTATTATACAGTTGACAACTTTTTTTTCAAACTTCTAAAATTTTATCTTTGTGTTTACGTCGAAATTTTAATTGAAAATGATTTCTAAGCCGCTCGAGGTCAATCTAATGTTAATAACTCTTTTTTCAAACTTCGAAAACACTCCTAATATCCGTATCTCTCAAGGTTAAGCTAATGTTTCGGTCGTCAGTGATCCGGAACTGTTGATAATTTTTTTTAGTATTTCGTAAAACAGTTTTTTTATTATACTAATGAATAGTTTAATAGTTTTTACATTTCTATCGCTGAGTTACACTTTCATGAATAATATGTTATAATGTTAAATGTAATAATTTATTAATTTTGTATCGGCTAAAACTAAATTTACATTTTCATGATATTAATTTGTGTTATAACTGCATTGATGTATATTTATGTAGAGGAAAGTTATGTAGTCAAAAATCGAATAAAGCGGTGCTTTAGAATAATCGCGCGACATATAAAAATTTTCGTACGTTTTTTATTTTAGAGATCAAGAAATATATTTATTATGTTACTATTTTTCCGTTGTTGTAAATAAAGCAATTTAATTATTATAAATGAATTATTCAAACTATGAAATAATGTTTTGGAATTCAATCACTGATTAAATTGTTACAAGTAAATAGTTAAAATTGTTAAATAATACACAAAAATGTCATCGAAATGCATTATTTTACAGTTTGAACTATTCATTTGAAACAATTAAATTATTTTATTTCTATAATATTTCTAGACATTATTTAATAATTTTCACAACTTTTATATTACGATTAAGTTATTTCATTCAATAATTTATAAAGTCATTTCTCTTAAGTTGTCATTGTTCAAGGTTGTTATAATTTATTAGTTAAAAATTTTAAATAACGCTTAGAAACATCACGGAAAAGAATTAATTGTTTAATTGTTGCAAGTAAATTATTAGAAATATTAGATAATGTTTAAATTAAAATTAGAATATTCAAAAATAGTAGTTAAAAATTTACTTCGAAAGTTTAATCGATGTGCACAGGATGAAAGTTCAACTTATAATGACCTTTTCTGCTGCTCCACCTTCAGGTAAAGTGATACACAACAGATGGTAATCTTTGTCAATACTTCTGAAAGCACTTTTTCCATTAAAATAATCAATAATTTTAATTTTTAGGTTTTATTTGGTTAAAATTTTACAATTTCACAGTTTTATTGTTTCGTAGCTCCCATTAATTTAAGGCAACAATAAATATTGCAATTTTTATATTTTTCACAAAATCAAATTACGTTTGCACGATAGTTTTTAACTTATAATTCTGTTGACATGTACTAAATGCTAATTTATAAGTCTGAGACACATAATATTAATTTATGTAGGAAATAATTATATTACAGTCCAAAATTAAATTGGTTGTTTTTTGAGAATAGCTATGCAATTAAGAAAGCATTCACGTTTAAGTCAATAATTTTCGATGTAGATGCAACAAGATTATTCATATTTTTTGATTTAAATTTCTATTACTAATAGCGCTGCGGTGCAAAACCTACCCAATCGATATAGTAGAAATATGGCACGAAAATGACCAGGTGAGATCAGGTGATTCCCAGAACATGGGTTATCTGATTTAGTTAGTCAATGATAATACAATCTTTGAAATGATTTTTTCTACAATTTTATCTTATTTCGTTAAAGTAATTATCTGATTGAAAGTTAGAACGTATCGAATAATTCTAAGTGTAACTGATAGATGTCGTCGTTAGATAGAACGAGCGCTCCATTGCATTTTTAATTTAGAATCTGATTATTAATTATCACAATAGTTTTATAATATCATATAAATATTCATAATATTTTAAAAATATTCAAAGACAAACCTCTCAGGACAGTTATGTCGTCTGATCCATTAGGTATCTGAAAGAGTCTTCGGGTATGTAGAAAAATAAAATACGCACATTTTATTGCTAATTAATATGACTTTTTATTACGGAAACATTGGAATTAAATTGAATTTAAACAATGTAAATTGAGTCTTCTGGTTGTTCTTGAGTTTCATTCAAAAGATAGGCTTTGTTGGAATCGATCCAAGATACGAAGGATGTCACTCTGGTGTAAACGTCGGGTTTCCCGACGGCGCAAGGTTGCCCAAAGGAAACGATACCAACTTGCAGGCTATTAACGACAAGTGGACCGCCAGAGTCACCCTGAAATTAAAAAAAAAAAAAGAGAAAAATTAATCGTCAACTGAATGTTCACAAGAATTAACGTTTCATTGTATAAACTCGAATTTAACGTCGTTTGAATATAAAATATAATAATTATACTCACGTGGCATGCACCTTCTCCTACTTTGGTGTATGTGCAGATGTGAGAATTCTGGACTCTGTTGTGGGCCTGCTTGCATTTTGCCTGAGTTTCGATGACCAAGTTAATGTATTGCAAGTTGTTTGGTGGGTTTCCTCCAACCTGTAAAGCCAAACATATGTTTCAATGTTTCATATTGTCGAATTATTAAAATAATTCGAAATCTTCCAAATGAAAGCAACTTCAAATCATCTGAGTTGTCATTTTGACAAGTAAGCTTTAAGCAGTTTTCTATACGAAAATCTATATCTAATATTTCAAATTTCCTGAGAAGAAGAAGAATTAATCTTAAATAGTTTTCATCATGAAAATTTCAAATTTTTCAACAAGAAGCTCCTTAATCATTACATTCTATATTATAATCATTGCTGAAACAATTGTATCTCGCACTCACTCTGGTAGTTCCCCAACCGGAGAGAACGCAGGATGATCCTTCGTAAGTCTTGCTACCAGTTGCCAATTTGACTGGTTGGACTAAGTTGTTGAACGCAATATTGCTGCTCACAAGAATCAAAGCCACATCGTTAACGAGTAGGAGCGAGTTATAATTTTTATGCGAAACGATCTTGCTAACTCCGTAAGACTGTCCTTGTTGGTCCAGTCTATTTGTTCCAGCGTGTACGCTAACGGAGTTCAAGTTGGTCAAACTATAAAACAAACATTGATTTTTTTTTAAGTCAGTGGCAAGCTTTCTTAAACGACACTTAATTATTAAAGATTTTCCTTTCGTGATCATATCGATCATTTTGTACATTTGCTTCTCTTGGAACGTACCCACTAACACAGTGAGCTGCAGTGAGGATAGTACGTGCGTCGAGGATAGATCCACCGCAGAAATGGCTTCCAGACTTTCTCAGAGACACTTGGTAGGGAAACTGTCCGTTCGATGCATCTTTGCCACCGACAATTTGGCTTTCAGGGAAGCCTATGCAAGACAAAATCGTAGTGAAGTCACTCCATTCACGGCTTAACTTTTGTTTATTTACTACAATCGTTTATATACCGGAAAGTCAATTAGATAAATTAGGAAATTTAAAATCATCAAAATAAAGAGTTCCATTGATGGCGAGTAACGATCATTTAAACTTCGAAGAGCCATTCAATTTCATAAAGGTAATTCCGCTATACATTGATTTCTGTTTCCATTCTTAAAACATTTGGGACAAATTGAATCAGCTTGACTTGTTTCGGATCAGACTACTGAAGGCTACATTTAAGATATATAAGTATGAAGTACAGACTACGGAATACAAAACTCAAATTCCTTTACAACTTCTTTCGTCGGAAATTCTTTTGGAAAACTTCGAGAGACTGTTTCAATTGTTATTACGTACTTACCAAATGCGGTGACTGCAAGGCAGAGCACAAATAAAGCGCTTAAACTGAACATGTTCGTAAGAAGGTTCACAAAGCTGTAATTGACAGAAGTTGTATTGATCGCTTTATATACGCGCCGATAAGGATAAATAAAATATCAGATCATTATCAGAAACATGAATAAGCGCAGTCACAGAAAATAAGCAAGCGAAAATCAGTAGCTCTGATTATAAAGACAAGATATACCTAATAGTATCAGTATCATCAACTATCAGTTTCTTTTCTTTTTTGTCTTCTTTTTTTTTTCTAGGAAGCATTAATTAATTTGATAACGGATACAAACTTGATACACGGTACGGATAGTATATTGTTGTAACAAACATCGTGTGAAATTTCAATTGATAGTATGCATTGGTGGGATTTCAAACGGTATCTTTAATCTTTTAATTATTGCCTCTTGTAACGCAGTCGTATCAATTGTTTAATTTAGATATTAACGCATAAAATAGAAATTTGATTGACATTTTTTTGATAAAAAATTCTGGTAATAATTCCCGAACATCTCTTGACAAGTAATTACAAAGTTAATGTAAAGTGATGTTGGCAGCTATCTCGTGTTATTTGTCTTACTAATATGTTGACTACTGCGGCTATTTTTCTAAATATTATAGAACGATAAATAGATAATATAGATAAATAAGAGAAGAATGTGCTTTCATTGCACTGTCATTAGAACGCAATATTTTCTAAAAATTAAATATTCCGTCCCATGGGAAGAAAGTATGAGTTCCACGTGATTTACTGCAGGAAAGCGAAATTCCACCTTCGAGAATTCCTTTCTTCCAAATTTTTATTTTTATTGAAGAAAATTTGAAATCTTCGCGAATTACGAGGAATAAAACATCAAATACAGCGATAAATTAAAACGATCAATTTTATAGTTCGTTGCAATAATCCAGATTGAAAGAGCAAGCGAGACACTTCAATTCTATCTCCTAATATTCTTTCCAAACTTCTGGAAGAATTTCGCCTTGTTCATGCGCAACACGCCGAGCAAAAACTTTGTAATGAGCGAAACGAGCTGGGTGGGACGATGTTTGCAAATCATTAGTACGACAGCAAGGGCTGAGGGTTGGTACTTTGGGACGAGGCGAGGGTTGAAAGTCTGCGTGATGTCTTGCAGGTATATACTCGCATTATTACCAGGCGTATTCAAGACGCTTGTTTCATTTCATTAATTACAACACAACATTTACTCTGAATATCGCGAAACAATGCTCGACGAATCATCGTTAATTCATCGTGCTTAAAAATCTCTGTTTATTGTCTATAGTATTAACTTGATAATTCTGCGCATAGAGATAGGTATTTCCGGCGAGATAAAATAAAACAGTAAGTTGTTAATGCAATTCTCACAATAGATAGTAAGTTAATAGATAGTAAAAATAGATAAAGATAAATGGTAATTAATGATAATAAATTATTTGTAATTTAAGTTGGTAAGAGTATTCGTAAACTGTAGAACTTTTACGCAGCTATATATTTCTATGGAAAAACGTAGTAAAAGGAAAGTGGAATTCATAGAGAGATTTGTTCCAATTATTAAATATCATAATGCCTAATTAATATAAATATTATAATTTCAATTACTAAATACAATAGTAAAAAATGTTTTATATATTTTTGCACGTTAAGTACACTCTGTATTTTTATACTTATGTATTTCCTAAAAGTGAAATTTATTATAATGTCTGAATTTGAGACAGATAAAAAGCATTTGAAAAATCAAAATGATAAAATTTGGTATGTAATGATTTTTTCTTTTTTTTTT